TGACATCAGGTGGGCAATATGAGAAATAGGTTTGCCAGCACTTACCAAGCAACAAAGATGGAGACCACAAATCCCTGTATGGATTGGACTCATATTTGTCACTTTGTCTGGTGTTTCCAGCCTCTTTGATAGCCACCCATGAAAGCCAACACTTCACAACCCTCTCACTGGCAGAGACTAGAGAGAATTGTTCACTGATCACAAAGCCAAACTCTAAAGACATAAAACAAGATGAAAAAAAAAGGTCTCCTACTTTTCTTCCTTATTATTGAAGACAGAGAAGAAAATCAAGGCCTGCTGGGAAGCAGGAATCATACCCAGAATAAAGTTATATGAAGCAAGCCAGATGCCTATAGCTGTAATTCTAGCTACTCAAAAAAAATGGCTCCGGACCTGGAGGATTGAAGTTCAAAGCCAGCCTGGTCAGAGAAGTCTTCAAGATTCCAGCTCCAACGAACTAAGAAAATGTTAGATTGGAAGTGTGGCTCAAATGATAGAACACCAACTGGAAAAGCCAAAAGAGAGCATGAGGCCCTGAGTTCAAGTCCCAGTACCAACACATATAACAAACAAACAAAAACCTGTGCAAAAGAACTAAGTTTTACATTATTTTTCCTACCAATCTAAATTTAGGATTTCTTTTTTGCCTTCTTCCCTTTACCAGGCACTGCAGACAAGGATCTGAGAGAGCTGTCAGAATTCTTACTTTAGTTTTGGTGGGTTCTTCCAGGATCCCACTCACAAGCTCCAGAGCAAGAGAAGTAACCCAACCCTTTAGAATTCCATCCTCTTACTAAATACGGTAGGAGAAGCAAAAATTTACTTCTATCCTCTTAAGTGTTTTTGGCTGAGCCTGACATATGATGAATTAACAAAAGAAAAGCATATAGGTTTTGCCCGGGTTTGCAAAACATGAGAATTTTCCTCCTCTGTCTTGAGGAAGAAAAATCATTAGAATGTCTTTCTCACATCTGCTGTTCTTCAATTGCCTTTAGCTCAAAATAATGCCAAATGGCACACTTGGGGAGGGCATCATCTTTCATCCTTTAGTATCTTCTGAAAAGCGGAGATTTCTGTTTTTGGGAGGGGGGGGTCCGGTCATGAGGCCTGAACTCTGGGCCTGGGCGCTGTCCCTCAGCTCTTCAGCGCAAGGCTAGCGCTCTACCACTTGAACCACAGCGCCACTTCCGGCTTTTTTCTTTTTCTGCTTATGTGTTGCTGAGGAATCGAACCCAGGGCCTCAGGCATGCAAGGCAAGCGCTTTACCACTGAGCCACCTTCCCAGCCCCTAAACGGAGATTTCTTTGACAGCCCTGCTGGTCATTGCCATGCCTTTCACCCCTGCTAACTTTGCACAATGACACCCCACCATTCTGTGGCTGAGTCCCCTGAAATGTTGCTGCTCTGTGTTACTCATGCTTTATGGACTTTGTTTCTTCTTTTGCCCACCCATCAAGTCACCACCATCACCCTCTTCCTCTCCTGGAGCCATGAAGAAGCTGCCAAGGAAAGCATCTGGGATTTAAGAAGCTCTGTTGATCTGTCAAGCACCCATCCCTACTCAAAGGCCAGTAAGTCCATCTCTCTCTAGGCTGCAACCTGGAAAGTGCTCCACCTGCCATATGGGAGCCCTCAGAGTTGAAAAGATGCCAAACAGGATACAAAATGGGATGTACTCTATGATTGCGACCCAGCAGAAGTATCTGTGCCAATGGATTAACAGGGGAAATGAGTCAGTAAAAATAAAGTACAAGTGCATCTTGAAGATGGTGGGGCAGCTCAGTGTCACAAAGCTAGCTCATCTGCACACACTCTTCTCTGTGTGTGTGTGGGGTATACTAGGGCTTGACCTCAGGGCCTCTCACTTTCATTCAATTTTTTTTCTGCCAGCTGATGCTCTACCACTTGTGTGACACCTCTCATTCAGCTTTGTTGCTGGTTAATTGGAGACAGAGTCTTATGTACTTTTCTGGCTGGGCTAGCTTCAAACTTCAAGCCTCCTGAGTAGCTAAGATTACAGAGTTGAGCCACTGGTACCTAATTCCCCTCTTCTTGAGTGGGTTTCTCCGTGCCAGAGTTTCTCTCTCTTTTTAAGTCCTGTTCATAGTCTAAGGGTATCTTTTCTATTCTCTGAAACAATACCCTAAAGCTACTTCAAGGATGCTTTTTTTCCCTTGAAACAGATCAAAGTGTCAAGATTACATAATTCATATTGCCATCAATAATTCTCCAAGTTAAGTTCTTCTTCTAAGGTCTTGGGTTAGGGTAATGAGCCTCAGTTTTATTCTGTGGGATCCCTTACAAAGTCAGCTATTTCTGAGAAACAAATGTTTAATTTTTTGTCATAAGAAGCTGATGCCTACATTTCATTCTCTTCCTTAAGGCAAGAACAAGTCTATACGGTCAAGTGCAGTGATTGGGTTTTCTGTACAGTCTACAACAGAACCAATTTAAATGAGTTTCTGCTTCCTTCAGGCCACCTTTTTGATCCAGTAATCCATTTCTGAGGATTAATAACTACAGCAGAAAAAAATGTAGCATACTAATGTGCTGGTTTAGTTTTAATAGTATGACATTGCTAGTTACACAAGAAAAGAGTAATTATGGAGAAGAAAGCAAGGAAACAGGCTGGACTTGATCTTCCACAGGCAAGGACTATTTATTGAGATAGAGCAGTGAGGGACACAGCTTTTCTGCAGGCTTAGAGACTATGTGTAGAGTTGGGACAGGAGCTGGGTTTGTATGAGGTCTGAGCAAAGAGGCAGAGGATAATGAAAAAGCCACTAGGTCAAGGGAGGTGGAGGGCTTTTTGGCTGGGCCCATGACGGAATGTTTACAACCAGGCTTAGATAGGCCTGCTGGAGTTAGGCAGTTTGCACTTATGTTTGGTGGGTTGCCAGGTATCTGTATGCACCTGGGAAACTAGGGTGGGAGAAAATCCTTCAATTAAAATGTCATGATCTATTTAGGATGTGCTAAGATGACCATTGAAAATGATTCTTTCAGGTGAGCACTGGAGGCTCACACCTGTAATCCTAGCTACTCAGGCAGCTGAGATCTGAGAATTGAAGTTCAAAGCTAGCCCAAGCAGGAAACTTCACAAGACTCTTATTTCCAATTAACTACCAAAATTCTGGATGTACAGCTGTGGCTCAAGTGGTAGAGTGCTAGCCTTGAGCAAAAAATTCTCAGGGACAGTGCCCAGACCCTAAGTTTAAGTCCAATGAGCAGTGTGCAATGTGAGCATGCATGCACACGCACGTGCACACACAAATGATGCTTTTGAAGACATGCTACCACATGGAGAAGTACTGGCATTAGTCAGCTACGGCTATATAACAAGTAACCTTAAAAACTCAGTCATAAGACAAATGTTTATTTCTCAGTTATGTGTTTTCAAGTCAGCTGGGTTTTGGTTGATCTAGCTGGACTTGGTTGAGCTTGGCTCTAGCCTATGAGTTAAGTTTCCATGTCTCTCATTCCTCAATGATTAAAGGCCATGGAGGGCATGTTCTTTGTACGGAGGTAGTGGAAACCTAAGAGATCAAATACATAGCCTCTGTGCACATTGCAAAATACGAACATTTCCTTGGCTAAATAAGATCACATGGCCAAGCCCACATCCCAGGTGTAGGAAAGTATTTATAGCTCTCATGTAAGGTACTATGAAGGGCATAGACATTGGAAGAGATGAGCAATAATGCAATCTATAGTCTTACCTCTCAAAAAAAAAGTTAAATATTTACAGTGGTGATTATACAACTTGATTGTAACTATGTGAAAGTATTCTTCTATGAATGAAGCATAGAAATAAACACCCAAAAAGGCAAAAAAGTGCTAAGTTTGAATATTGAGAAGATTTAAGAACTTTTCCTCCTTTCTCCATTCCCTAACCTTATATAATAATACAATTACCCTCCTTTTCATCATTTTAAACACTTTTTTATCATGGGCAATGCTTGTTTATCTTATTTATTTTATTTTTGTGCCACTATTGGGGCTTGAACTCAGGATCTGAGTGCTGTCCCTTAGCTTTTTTACTCAAGGCTAGTTTTCTACTCCTTGAGCCTCAGTTCCACTTCTGGCTTTTCTGGTGGTTGATTTGGGATGAGGGTTGCAGGGACTTTCCTGCAGGGGCTGACTTTGATCTGAAATCCTCAGCAGTCTCCTGAGTAGCTAGGATTATAGGCATAGCTACCAGAACCCAGCAATCTTAGTTACTTTATTAAACAAATTATTTTACCCAACATATTAAGGCTATGTAGAAGGGGAAAGGAGAGAGAAGAGATGGCAAAGTATTTGGAGAAGCAGGGGGTAGATGAGAGTTGTTTCTGTTTAGTCCGTGTCCAGGACCGCAGCCATAGGTTTATCCACAATTTTTTTTTTTTGAGTCCAGTCATGGGGCTTGTACTCTGGGCCTGGGCGCTGTCCCTCAGCTCTTCAGCTCAAGGCTAGTGCTCTACCACTTGAGCCACAGCACCACTTCCGGCTTTTTTCTTTTTGCTTATGCGGTGCTGAGGAATTGAACCCAGGGTCTCAGGCATGCAAGGCAAGCACTCTACCACTGAGCCAACTTGCCAGCCCGCAGCCATAGGTTTAGACTTACCCTCTAGCTCAGCTCCCCTTAGAGCAAAGCTCTGCTCATGGAATCTCGCATTCTATGCTTTTGTTGAATGCTCAGATCAGCAAAAGCCTATTGGTCCCTACAATCCTCATCATAATTTAACAGAGTGGCATTTTTCCATCATATGTTAGTCTTTTGTGAGCTTAGCTGGCATAGTACTGTCACCAAGAGACTGATTTAGATTTAGTGGAATGAATAAATCAAAATTTGAACATGTAAACTTAAAGCCCACAGTCAATATAGAGATGTCAGTAAAACACCCAATCAGCATAACTGTCATGGAGGGTATCCTGCCACAAAATGAGCCAATGAGTCTGGAGTGTATTGGAAACACTGGGGGACCAGAGGTACAATCCAGAACATAGGTAGGAGAATAAATCAGGATGCATGATGGAACATTTGAGGAATTGATGTGATTTAAGGCTGGGGGACTACTCACTGGAAGTATCTGAGCAGAAGATTTCATAAAGCAGCTATTTGAGGATAACCCCTTCAGATGGCAGGATAAAAGCTGGATTGAGCTGGAGGAGGCAGCATGAGACCAGTGACACATGTGTTGTAATTGTGCAGAGAAGAAGAATGGACTGGGAAAGGAACAGGGCAACTGCAAAATAAGTGAAGGCTGAGCCTCAAGAGACAGCTCTGTGGTTCAGAGCCTCACAGATGTACCTTGATTTTCTTGTTTGCAAAAAGGAGTAGCTGACACCTATGTAGGCAGAGAGACTCCCATGTTGTTTATAATCATTTTCAGAAGGCTTTCCTCTTTTCATAGAGCAGATAGAGGTGGCTAATGGCTCTTGAAGCAAAGCAGAGCTTTTGAAATTCCTCTGGCTGGGCACCTTCTGAACTAAGCCCAAATACAATATTCCTTTGAAGGCCTGAGAACTGCTGAACACTGTCTAAAACAATGTGATTGTCCTGAACACCTGCAGCCCTGCTGAACACCACCTCTGTTGCTTCTTGGGTGTGAATTAAGTTCATTTCTCTTAGGAGCACAGGCTGGTAGCGTCCTCTTTCCTCCGGTCTCCTGTATAGGACTGCTATATCCTTGGGCAGATAGCCCCATTGGAACAAGCCGTGACACTTTTCTGCCACATATTTTGCTATTTGTTCTATGGTCATTTGGGTCTTGATTTCATACACCCCAGGTGGAGCCTGGGCACACATGGCTTCCTCATAGACAGCTTCCTGGAACAATGCCATACTATCTGGAGACACATGGGAGAGAGGGTTTTCTCTGATCCTTTCCATTTCTTCCTTCATGACCATTGCTATTTCCCAAGCACAGTGGATCCCATTGGTGATTGTTCTCCGAGGAAATTGAGCAGAAGGAGGCGGGAGGCCATTGACTTCTGCATGATGGACTTGGAAAGGGTCTAGAAAAAGCCAGAGGATCCTGTGCTGAGGGTTTTCACTTCCATCCCCCTTCTCCTTAGGATGAGTGATGCTCCTGGCCTTCAGGTACCAATTTCCATATGTACTGCAGAAATTCTCTGTCTCATCCATCACTATGTGCTTAATCCTTGAGAAATCTCCTTGCATGAACACGTTCCGGGTCACAGCACGGAAGGGGGTTTGTTGGCTATGAGGAAGAAAGAGAAAACAGGGTTTTCAGGCATAAAAACAAAGGCATCAGTAGCACTGGAATTGGAATCAGAAGACTGAATTGGGGCCAGGTGCCAGTGGCACACGCTGGTAATCCTAACTTCTCAAGAGGCTGAGATCTGAGGATCGCAGTTCAAAGACAACCCGGGCAGGAAACTCCGTGAGACTCTCATCTCTAATAAACCACTCAGAAAACCGGAAGTAGTGCTGTGGCACAAGTGGTAGAGAGCTCACCTTGAGCTGAAGAGCTGAGGGACAGTGCCCAGGCCCCGAGTTCAAGCCCCACGACTAACAAAAGAAAAAGATTGGATTGGAATCAGAGGTTAATTCCCCCTTTGCAAGTGCATTCATCAACTTACTAGTGTCAACACCACAAAACAGCTACATTGACAAGTCACTTGACAGAATGCAGAATCTTATACCTTATCTTTATGAAGTATTTACTTCAATCTGTATGTGAAACTTTCATTATTACAAAGGAGGTAGGAGACTTTATTATCTCTATTAGTATCCATTTTTGCTACTTGACAATCCTTGAAGACAAGACCCTTACTGCTAAACAAAAGCTCACAAGTGATTTTTTTTTCTCAGTCACAGGCCTGAATTCTGGGCCTGGGTGCTGTCCCTCAGCTCTTCAGCTCAAGGCTAGCACTCTACCACTTGAACCACGGTGCCACTTCTGGATTTATCTGCTTATGTGGTGCTGAGGAATTGAACCCAGGGCCTCATACATGCAAGGTAAGCACTCTACCACTGAGCCACCTTCCCAGCCCCCCAAACTTTCTGTTCTTTTACAGATCTGGAAAGCAGTCACCTAGAGGTATACCACAATATTTTTTTGGTCAGTTGTGGGGCTTGAACTCAGAATCTGGGCACTGTCCCTGAGGTTTTTTTGCTCAAGGCTAGCGCCCTACCACTTTGAGCCACAGCTCCACTTCCAGTTTTTGAGTGATTAATTGGAGATAAAAGTCTCACAGGGACTTTTCTGCCTGGCCTGGCTTTGAACCACAACTCTCAGATCTCTGTCTTCTGAGTAATTAGGAATACAGGTCTAAGCTACTAGTGCCCAGCTTATATCACAATCTTTATGAAGGAATTCAAATTTCTTCTAAAACAAATTCTATTTCTTCCCTTGCTTTTTAATACAAACCAGTTTCTTGTCTTCTCTAATTTGAATTCAAGGATGAGCACAAGTTCCTAAAGATTCCCTGATTTTACATGAGCTATTTCTGTGCTTTAATTCTGAACTATTTTTGCTTTCCTCCAGTTTGAACTGTGCAGGCTCTTGAAAAAATGCTCTGCTTCTTAGCCATCTCTGCATCTCCCCTCATATTAGAGGTTCAATAGGTATTTGTCAAATTAGCCTTTCAACTGACAGTTTAAAAAAACATCCATAAAGCTTAATGGCAAATATAGCCCTTAGCACAATTTACAAGATCCTCTGGAATCTAATATCTCCCTCATTTCCAGTATCACTATCTGCCTTATACCCACCCCCAGACCTACCATTCTGGTCTGTAGTGTCTACATGTCTTTGAATTTGCTGGTTTTTTTTTTTACTTAGAAAGTCTTCCTCATTCTATTTTCTTCTTTGTGTGTGTGTGTATGTGTGTGTGTGTGTGTGTGTGTGCGTGTGGGCAGGAGGGTGTCTCAATATGTAGCTCAAGATGGCCTCAGACTTTAAACCCTCCCAGTCTCTTGAGTATTGAGATTACAAATATGTGTGCCACCATACCCAATTTTCTACTGGTCCCTTCCTTCCTTCCTTCCTTTTTTCCTTCCTTCCTTCCTTCCTTTTCTTTCTTTCTTCCTTCCTTCCTCGCTTCCTCCCTCCCCCTTTCTCTCTCTCTCTCTCTCTCTTTCTTTCTTTCTTCCTTCCTTCCTTCCTTCTTTCCTTCCTTTCTTTCTTTCTTTCTTTCTAACTTTCTTTCTTTCTTTCCTTCTTTCTTCTTATACTGGGGCTTGAATTTAGGGCCTCATGTTTAGTAAGCTGGTATATTCTACCACTTGAGCCATGTCTCCAGCTCTGCTTTTCTGCAGGCTATTTTGGAGAGTCTAGAGAACCCTTTCTGCCTGGGCTGACTTCAAACCTTGATCTCCAGAATTTAGCCTCTAGATTAGCTAAGGTTATAGGCATCAGTCACTAGTATCTGGCTTGTACTAGTTTATTAGGAGTGTGCCTAAAGGTCTCTTTCACTGACAAGTAGTTGCTGCTCTACTTCTAGCCTAAAATAAACCTGTCTTTATTATAACACACACAACATACACACACACACACACACACACACATACACACACACGTGTGTGTATGTGTGTGTGTGTGTGCACATGAGCACTAGTTCTGGGACTTGAACTCAGTTAGACCCTCAGCACTGTCCCTGAACACTTTTCTTAACAGCTAGTGTTCTACCACTTGAGCTATAGCTCCACTTCTGACTTTTTTGGTAGTTAATTGGAGATAAGAGTCTCACAGACTTTCCTGCCTAGGCTGGCTTTGAACTTCAATCTTCAGATCTCAGCCTCCTGAGTACCTAGGGTTATATGCATGAACCTTAAATAATTTTTAATGGTAAGGTCTTCAGTATGTTTTTTCCATTAACACTAAATGTAACACAGTGTTTAAATATGAATGATGCTCAAAAATATACCTGGAGGGCTGGGAAGGTGGTTCAGTGATAAAGTGCTTGCCTTGCATGCATGAGGCCCTGAGTTCAATTCCTCAGCACCAGATAAGCAGAAAAAGCCAGAAGTGGCACTATGGCTCAAATGGTAGTGCACTAGCCTTGAGCTGAATTGCTGAGAGACAGCACCCAGGCCCAGAGTTCAGGCCCTATGACCAACAACAACAGCAACAACAACAAAGTATACCTGGAAACTGTAACCACTCTATATACCACCTTTATAATACAATTTAAAAATTAAAAAACAAACAAGTTAAAGTTTAAAAAAGATAACTGGAGCCAACCCTGGGCTGGTTGCTCATAGCAGTAATCCTCACTACTCAGTAAGCTGAGATTTAAGGATTACAGTTAGAAGCCAACCTGGGTAGGAAAGTCTGTGAGATTCCTACTTCCAACTAACTGCTAGAAAGCTGAAAGCAAAGCTGTGGCTTGAGTGGTAAAATACTAGTCTTTGTTTTTGTTTTTGTTTTTTTTTTTGGGGGTCTGGTCGTGGGGCCTGAACTCTGGGCCTGGGCGCTGTCCCTCAGCTCTTCAGCTCAAGGCTAGCACTCTACCACTTGAGCCACAGCGCCACTTCCAGCTTTTTTCTTTTTGCTTATGTGGTGCTGAGGAATCGAACCCAGGGCCTCATGCATGCAAGGCAAGTTCTCTACCATTGAGCCACCTTCCCAGCCCCGAGATTTTAATCAGAATAAATTCTGCCTGTTTTCTAAAATTATCAGTGTAAAGTAAGTCAAATGGATCAAAATATTTTATAAACAATATCAATGATTTCTATATTTGAGTCATAAGTAACTAATCTTACAATTTTAAAACATTAAATATCAGGCAAAAAAAAGTATCTTCAAAGCAAAAAGGATTCATTTCTACTTTTCTTAGATTTAAGACCACAGATTGTGGGGAAAACATTTCTAGGTCAACAAATGTAAAGTTATGCATACTAAGTTTATTTATAACATTTTAAAAACGTGAACAGTATAAATTACCCACTTATAATTAAACTACCTGGCCATTTAGAACCATTTATTTTGGCTTGGGTGCTTAAATTTACTCAACAAAGAAGCATTGCCAAATTTACTTATTTATTTTTACCAAGACTGGGGCTTGAACTCAGGGCCTGGGCACTGTCCCTTAGCCACAGCTCTAGTTCTGGCTTTTTGCTGGTTAATTGGAGATACGAGTCAGATGGACTTTCTTGTTTGGGCTAGCTAGCTTCAAATTGTAATCGTTAGAGCTCAGCCTCCTGAGTAGCTAGGATTGCAGGCGTGAGCCATGAGTGCTTAGCCCCCTCCCAATTTTAGACTGATTTAAAGTAAATGGAAAATACAAATTACTTTTGTGGCACTGTTGTAAAGATTAAGTATGTTTTTGTTTTTAGTTTAGTAAAACTCTCACCTCACCAAACCCTTGAGGGAGTCACTTTCACAAACATAGAGGATCTCTTTTGGTTTGCAATGGAAGACGTCTTTAATTTTCCCCATGATCTTCATGGCCAGGGCTGTCTTCCGGGTTCCTGGAAAGCAGTGGATGAACAATTCCCGAGTTTCATGAAGGCTCTGGGAAAGCAACTCACACTGCTCTGTTACAAGCAGGTCGAAGTACTCACAGCCCAGGCAGTCACTCAGAAGAGATGTAGAGCAGAAGGAGACGACCACAAGGGCCTGCAAGATGTCCTCCACTTCTTCACTGGAGAGCCTGTAGGACTGGGGGTAGTACATAGGGAATTCACAAGATCCATCTGGCCAGCTGGTCAGAGGTGTCAGCCTTGGAATGACGCACACCTTCCCTGTATAGCCACCCTCAGTTTGCAGTTTCTGCTTTAACTGCAGGGCAGTGTCTTTGGCATATTGAAGACCTCCCATCCAACTAGGGTCTTTTATGATGGTATAGAGTACCAAGGGGCTGTTAACGGCTATCAAGAGTGCATCACACAGGACATTCTCCTCTTTCTTTAAACCAATATCGCTAGCCCAGCTTCTAGAAAATATCACAACCCCCTGAGAACAAGGATAGATCTGTGTCTTCATGAATTTCTCCAGTCCTTCATGATCTGAGAATAACTGCCGACAGAGAGATTCTGGTTGAAATCGCATCTCTTCCTGTGTCACTGAAAATTCAAAGAACTGAAGTTACTAAAACTGACAAAAGCATAAAGCATGGTTAAATACAGATGGTTGTGGCCACAAAACTATGAGTTTCCTTGCTGCAAAGGCAGCATCCCAGGGCTGGAAAGTTGGCTCAGTGGTTGAGTGCTTGCCTTGCATGCATGAGGCCCTGGGTTCGATTTCTCAGCACCACATAAGCAGAAAAAGCCAGAAGTGGCGCTGTGGCTCAAGTGGTAGAGTGCTAGCCTTGAGCTGAAGAGCTGAGGGACAGTGCCCAGGCCCATAGTTCAGACCCCACAACCAATTTAAAAAAAAAAAAAAGGCAACATCCCAGCAGGAGGCTGAGATCTGAAGATCGAGGTTCAAGGCCAGCCTAGGCAGGAAAGGCCATGAGACTCTTATCTCTAATAAACGACTCAGAAAACTGGAAGTGGCGCTGTGGCTCAGTGGTAGAGTGTTAGCCTTGAGTTGAAGAGCTGAGGAGCAAAACACCCAGGTCCAGAGTTCAAGCCCCACAACAGACAAAACAAAAACAAACAAACAAACAAACAAAAAAAAAACAAAGGCAGCATCCTCTTGGCATAGCCCAAGGCTACAGGAGGAATTCCAGCTCTAACCTGGAGAAAGCTATCTGAGAGGGATCTTCACAAAACCTTTTCCTCAAGCCCAGATGCTCCACGACTTACAGGAAGTCACTGCTTCCTCCCCAGGCCTTTCTGGGACACTGATGCTTTGGGGGAAACTAAAACTTCTCCTTTAGCACAGCAAAATTTTAATGATCAGCAATTTATCCCCCTAACTAGGGGACCTCTGACAAACTGGCAAGTTTTGTATTGTTATAACTAGAGAGATGGTATTAGTATCTACTGGGCAGAGGCCAGGAATGCTGCCAACAGCCTACAATTACCTGGCACTCACCACTCCCTGACAAAGAATTATGACAATAGTGTGGAGGCGGAGAAACTCTGCTTTAGCAGTTCAGAGGACTCTGTGGCTCTTTCTGAAAACCAGGAAACAGTTCTTATGGTATAGACGTAAGGAATGCTAGTGCTCTCAGATTAGGAGAATGAAAGCTATATGGGACTGGAAACCAGGAAGCATATGTAAGTTTAGTGACGACAGAAAGATAAGAAACATATATAATACGTAATATATAATATATAGCACATATATTATATATACTAGAAGTACATGACAGAATGTGATACATTAATATATTGTATGTAAGATACATTGTTTTACTATCATATTGATATATATTTACATAGTATTAATCCTATAGCTATATATAATAAATATTGTATATTATTACATTGTATTATATATTATACATCATTATATTGTATATAGTTGTGTAATCATATATAGTATGTATATTCTATATAATATGTTACATAATGTAATATATAATGTAATATTAATGTATATTATTTCAGGCTCATGATGTCTGAAAAGTTCTATATTTGTTCTTCCGTAAGAAGAAACACTTGGATTAACTCACACCAACTCCTCCCAAGTTTATTATTTTGTGCTTGTTTATTTTTGAGGTACTGGGGAATCAAACCCAGGGCCTTTACATGTTTGGCAAGAGCTATTTACCCCTGGAACTGTGAATTTCATAGTTTCCTACTTCATTTTACAAAACAAATCATCTGTTCGCCTGAAATCAAAAGGAAATACCTGAGTCTGAGTCAGGACTGGGTTATGTATTAAGACTCTATCTCAGATAAACAAAGAAAAACAGGAATACCTGGAAACACACGTTGTTGCAGATCCTTCTTAAATTCCAGGACTTTTGTAGGATATGCTGAGCTTCTTGGTGCAGAAGAGGCTGGTGAAAGCAAGTGAGCACTGTGGTCTCTGGCCAAACTGGAAGGAACTAAATAATCACATGGAAACTAGTTTTAGACAAAAAAAAAAAAATTTTTTTTTTTGTTGTTCATGGGGCTTGAACTCAGGGTCTGGGCACTGTCCCTGAGCCCTTATGTTCAAAGCTAGAGCTCTACCACTTGGTGCTACAGGGCCACTTCTGGCTTTTTTGGGTAGTCATTTTGGAGATAAGAGCCTCACAGACTTTACTGCCTGGGCTGGTTTTAGTGCCTGGCTACACATTGTTTTAATTGTAAGTCCAAGGCTAGATGGTTCAGAAAGCATAGGATCTCTAGCTTAGGGAGGTGGAGGAGGAAAGGGGAAGAGGGAGAGAGAAAGAGAAAGGGGAGAGGGAAAGAAAGAGAGAGGGACCTCTAACAAATTTAGGACAATAAAAAAAGATTATAGGAAGTGATGCTGTGGTTCAAGCAGTAGAGCGCTTGCTTTGAGCTTAAGAGCTCAGGAACAGTCTCCAGGTCCAGAGTTCAAGCCCCACAACCGACAAAAAAAAAAAAATTATAATCACTGAAGTCTTGGATTTAAACTTCTTTTGTCCAATTGTGAACATATTTGCCCTAAAGCAAGCTGGTAAGCTCAGTTTGGTCTTTAAGTCCTTTGGGGTGGCTTAGAAATCACCAAGGTTGATTCCAGTCAGGGAAGTACCAGCAAGCGCTAGGCATCTTCCTGCACTGCCATCCCCCAGCCCAGTACTACTTTTTGAATCATTCCCCCACATGATGGTATTCCAAACTCAAGGGTTTGCTATGTTAGCTCTTAGTGTTACTGGAACAGTTCAAATTCTTCAAAAATGGTTTCCTTGAAAGGCTTCGAGCAGAGTCATTCTTAAACAGTGTTTCTCTGAAAATGAGTGAGATTGTTTCTATTTAGGAAAATTACCCTGCAATTTTTTCACCAACCTTTACCGTGCATAAAAAGGAAATTTCACTAATTCATAGTATGCTATAACTCTCCCAATATAGACTGAAATTCATGCATTGCTTGACCCCAAAGAGATCAAATTCTCGCCAGAAGTCAGTGGCTCATGCTTGTAATCCTAGCTATTTAGGGGGTAAGATCTGAACATCGAGGTCCAAAGCCAGCCAGGCAGGAAAGTCCATGTGACTCATATCAGCAAAAAGCTGAAAGTGGGGGTGTGGCTCAAGTGGTAGAGTGACAGCCTTGAGCATAAAAACTAAGGTATAGCACCCATGCCAGGAGTTCAGGCCCTATTTACCAACACATACACACACAGCCACACACACAGCCACACACACACACAGAGGTCATAAACAAAGAATAGTAGAAACTAAAAGATATTTTTTAAAACTAAAGAATATTTATTAGAACTAAATTTGGGACTAAAGAACATAAGGGGAGCCAGGTGCTGGTGGCTCACACCTGTAATCTTAATTATTCAGAAGGCTGAGATCTGAGAATATTAGTTCAAAGCCAGCCCAGGAAGAAAAGCCCATGATATTCCTTTTTTTTTTTTTTTTTGGGGGGGGGGGGGTCCGGTCATGGGGCCTGAACTCTGGGCCTGGGCACTGTCCCTCAGCTATTCAACTCAAGGCTAGCACTCTACTTGAGCCACAGTGCCACTTCCGGCTCTTTTCTTTTTGCTTATGTGGTGCTGAGGAATCGAACCCAGGGCCTCAGGCATGCAAGGCAAGTGCTCTACCACTGAGCCACCTTCCCAGCCCCAGCCCATGATATTCTTAGCTCTAATTAACCACCAGAAAACCAGAAATGGAGCTCTGGCTCAAAGTGGTAGAGTCCTAGCCTTGAAGAAAAGGAGCTCAGGGACAGCGCCCAGGCCTTGATTTCAAGCTCCACAACTGACAAGAAAAATTTAAATATATATATACATATATATATATATATATATATATATATATATATATATATATGGAAAAATTCTGTCATGGGAGAACATTTGAAAACATAAACAATATTAGTAAAATTAAATATTATTTAAGATAAATATATGACTGAATACCACAAGAGTAGAGGAAAGGGATCCTTCCTATGGAAGGGACAATGATTCGCTCTTCTTCTTTACCTGACTGAGCATCCAGCATCATGACCACCCAGTGCTCAGCTGTCAGCCTTGTGACAGAATTTTCCTTCATGATCCAGGAATCTGGATCCTCTGCAAACACCACACAGCAGAAGGGCTCTACTCGAACCACACAGACATAACCATACAGGGCATCTCTTTGGTAGACATTTATGATTTTGGTAGTGAACTTGACCTTGGGTTTCTTATGGCAGAAGTGATATGTAGGCAACTTTTCTATGTAGTTTTCAATTTCATTTTTCAATAAGTCAGGATTCACTTTTTCTTTCTTACATCCAAACACTTCTTTGCTCTTGTCATCAACCCCAATAATTAGGTATCCCCCAAGAGTGTTGGCAAATGCAGAAACATAGTGAGGTAGCCTTTCTTTAATCCAAGGGACAATCTTCTTGCTGGTGAACCTTTTAAACTCGACGTGTGTTGACTCGGTAAAGTTGAGCTTCTCTTTATACCTAAGTCTATCCCTTTCAAAGAATTCTGAGGCAGCCACCTTCATATCTTCCTCTTCTTGAATATATCTGTTTAGGGTTCTCTGAGGAGTATGCAAGTCCCGTGTGCCTCTTTGGGCTCTAGATGCCTTCTCTCTAAGAAGTTCCAGGGCATTGCTTGCGCTCAGGTTGATAGCAGAGGTCACATCTCTCCGATATAAATTGGAGTGCAAGCTACAAATCTTCACTGGAAGGCTGCAAACATCTGGGTTCCATGCCTTCACAAAAATCAGGAGAAGGTCTCCCTGCTGTGTATAGTCAAGGTACTTCTGTGAGCCCGAAGGCAGGAGCTTCTGAAAGGAAGTTTCTAAATCTTGTCCCAGCCCATGGGATCGATAATTGTAGGTTCTATCATCAATCTCTGCCTTAATCACACCCCCTCCAGAATTTAGCAGTGCACAGATAGCCTTGATGATCTTCAGATTCTCATTTCTTTTCAAACAGCTATTGGTCATCATCTTCCTATTCTCTTCTCCAAAAGTGACTCTGCCCACTGACACAATCTCCTCAGCAAAGAGCATTTCTATGTCAGCCTGGAGGCTTTCCATCCCAGCAGCCCTTCTGAACTCCAAACAACAACAGAAAAGGCTCCTACAAATAACAAGGACAGAGGTATTTTTTCTGCCTTAGTGAGAATTTCAGAGATGATAATATTTTCTTTGAACCTACAAATTATTGAATATACACTTTAACATTGGAAATAATCTTTGATACTACTCATTCCTAACAAAAGTATCCTTAACCTTTTTATTTTTAGCAAGAATAAGCCTAGATTTTAAGTCAACGCTTAATATTTTGCCATATGGGAAAATTGCATGGCTGAAATGTTCAATCATCTTCCATTAATATCAGAAAGCAGTAACTTTGAGCCCAGAACAGTTATTAAAGAGTAAGTCATAGCCCACACTTGTAATCCTGGCTACTCAAGAGGCTGAGATCTGAGGATCATGGAGCGAGCCCAGGCAGGAAAGTCTGTGAGACTCGTATCTCCAATTAACCATTTAAAAAGCAGGAAATGAAGCTGTGGCTTAAGTGGTAGAGCATGAGCCTTGCGGGGAAAAAAAGCCAGGGGACAGCATCCAGGCCCCAAGTTCAAGTTCCAGTAACAGCATAAAAAATGTATTTTATTAGCGAATATGCAGAAGTAGAAGTTGAAATCAGATAATGATTCTATTCATGTTTCAAAGGGGAAAGAAGCAGTAGAGAATTAAGGGAGTGTAGAAGATGTTGCTATAAAAAAGACTGTAGAAGCCAGGTGCTGGTGGCTCACACCTGTAATCCTAGTTACTCAGGAGATCTGAGGATCACAGTTCAAAGCCAGCCTGGGCAGGAAAGTCCATGAGACTTATATTTCCAAATGACTACCAGAAAACCAAAAGTGGCGCTGAGGCTCAAGCAGTAGAGAGCTAGCCTTGAGCTGAAGACTGCAGGGACAGTGCCCAAGCCCAGAGATCAAGCCCCATGACTGACCAAAAGAAAAAAGAAGACTGTAGAAGATTGTGTTATATTAAAAACACACACACATTAATCTGGACATAGTGGTACTTGCTTATAATTCTAACTCAAGAGGCTGAGGCACAAGGAAAAAGTTAGAAGCCAGCCTAAGCTATCTAATGAAAAGCTATCACAAAAAAAAAACCAACAACAAATGACCATGTAATTGCTTGAACAACTCCAGTATCTAGTGATGCATTGTAATTTCAAAGTGTTCCATTGTATTTTCTTCCTTACTTTCAGCTGCAATTTGTCTCTCTGCAACTTTTACCAATGGGACCTATAACACAAATCTAATTAACTTTGAACTTGCTGGGCCCATGGCCTCATGACTCCCAAGTCTTCTCGATGTTACATGGATACTGATAACTATGAAAGTATGTTTTCTGAGATTCTAGATCCGGTTGACTAGCCTTTCTACTCTTCCAGAATTTCCCAATCATTTGCCTTTATATTTTTCTCATTAGCTACCTTTATACTGTCCTAGGTGAACTCAAGACTATAAACTGAACCTAAAATGAGATCGATGAGATTTAGGGGAAAAAGTTCTCTTACCTGATGCTCTTGGAGTTTTCTCTTGCTGCTTCAGTTTCACATCTGGCACTGGTCTCAATGTTTGCCTTCTGTCAAGGCCCCTGTTGCCTTGTGATATCGGCCTGGGAGGAGCAGGAACTCTGCCAGACTCCTCCAGTCTTCATAACATGGACTCACTGAGGAAGGCTGATAAGGACTCAAGAAGTGTCTATGTCAGGGCCTGACCTCAGGGAGTGAATCAGGGTTTCATAATGGGAAAATTCAAGGGTCTTCAAATGAGCAGTCAAAAATTGAAGCCCCTGAGACAATGATGATCTATCTGTTCCATACATCCTATAAGTATCTTCTGCCCTAGTTAATTTTGTTAGCAAAACTCTACTAACTACATTCATTTTAAGTTAGGCTATGCTGTACATATTCATTGCAAGAAACATTAATTTATTTTCTACCTTTCATATTGTTTATTCTATGTAATTTTTATTCTTCTCCTACTCTTTGATAGACATAAGACCTAGTGTAGTAAAATGCATAGAAATAAGTTGGTAGTCACTGGGTTGAGGATGATGGGCAAATTTTGGTTTAAGTTTGTGTGTGTGTGTGTGTGTGTGTGTGTGTGTGTGTGTGTGCGCACGCGCGCGTGCGTACTAGTATTTGTGGTTGAACTCAGGGCCTGGTTACTTTCTTTAGCTTTCTCACTCAAGGTTGGTATTTGACCACTTGAGTCACAGCTCCACTTCTGGCTTTTTGGTGGTTAATTGGAGAGAAGAGACTCCTAGACTTTTCTGTCCAGGCTGATTTTGAACTGAGAGCTTCAGATCTCAGCCTCCTGAGTAGCTGGGATTACAGGTATGTACCAACAGTGCTGGGCTCAGAACCCTTACTTTATTTGTGTTCATTTCCACTTCTTAATAGTCATATGGCACTGCCTATGTGCTCACCAGACACAAAGTATCAGATACCTGCTGAAAGGGCTGGCTTGGCCCTTGATCTCTTGACCCACAAGTGTTTCCATTTCAACCTTAATTATTTCATAGAAATGACTGGATATGTGTAGTTAGATAACATAGTTGCCAATAGCAACAGCCTGGGTTCCACCATGCCATTACTGGGCTCTGGTAAGTTCCCTTACATCCATTCTTTCCTCTATTTGGGAATATGTAGGGTGTTCAAATGCTACCCTTACATTCTAGCTGGGAGACCTTGGTTAAACTAACCTAAACTTCACAATCTTTCTTATAATAGTGCCTTCTCCACAGAATATTTTTAAGGATAAAATGAGATGCTACACATAGTGAATAGCATAGAATGCCAGCCTTTTCTTCATTAATCCATGATTGAATAATCAAGCACCTTCCAAAACCAGTACAGTGCCTCTGGCAACCCAAAATAGTGCATTTAGTGATTGCTTCATTTGGGTCAAATATGCACTTTTCTTTTCTTATATAATCTTCTTAATGCCTGAAAGACAGGCATTTTTTTTTTTTACTACCTTATAAATGAAAGAATTGATCAGAAAGCAAAGCTCAGGGTTACCTATTAGCAGAGCTGGGATTTGAACATTGGGTTATCTGAATCCAAAGCTCATCTCATTCTGCCACACAGCTGACAGCTGGAAGGAGACACATGCCTACTACCCTCTCTAGAGGGAAAAGATACAAATAACTCCTAATAGTTCAACATCTACAAGTAACATTGCCTGAGCACTCTGATTACTAGGCATTATTTTCATTCATCTTTAACAACTTTGTTAGATGATATAATTATTAAAAAAATAAAAGCTACTATCACTGGGTTTTGCTGGTGGCTCATGCCTGTAATTCCAGCTAACTGAGGAAGCTGAGATCTGAGGATCAAGAGTCAAAACCAGCTCAGGCAGAAAAGTTGGTGAGACTCTTATCTCCAATTAATGACACAAAAGCCAGACCAGGAGCTAAGGCTCAAGTAGTAGAATGCTAGCCTTAAGTGGAAAAAGACAAAGAAGGGAAGGAAGGCCCTGAGTTCAAGCCTCAGGACCTGAACAAAAACAAAAACAACAAACAACAAACAAACAAACAAAAACAGATAAGGACACGCACTCAACTCAAGCCTATAATCCTAGCTTCTCAGAAGGCTGAGGTAAGAGGATCCAGATTCAAAGCCAGCCCAGGAGGGAAGAGACTCTTGTCTCCAATTAACTGCCAAAAAGCTGGGAGTAGCACGATAGCTCAAGTGGTCAGGGACTGACTAGCTTGAGCAAAAAAACTAAAGGACAGCTCTCTAGTGCTGAATGCAAGCCCCAGTAATCAAACAAAAATAAATAAAATAAAGTATACATGCCTGAACTCCAACCCCTGAGAATATCTGATTGGACAGATCTGGGTTGAACCCCAGGCATTCTGGAGTTTTGAATTTATTTATTTATTTTGGTTGGTCGTTGGGTTTGAACTCTGGACCTGGGCGCTGTCCCTCAGCTCTTCAGCTCAAGGCTAGCACTCTACTACTTGAGCCACAGCACAACGTCGGGTTTTCTGGTGGTTTATTGGAGTTAAGAGTCTCATGGTGAAGAACGAAAAAAAAAATGATTGTGCTAGATGATTTTATGGTTTTTGTATGATTTTAACTGTGACTGGTTTTAGTTACTCAGTAGTGGAATATCAGCCTGGGAGCCTAGAGTTGCTTAGTAAAAGACTTCAAAGGGCACAAAGTCCTCAAAAGGACTCCCACAGCTGCAACGCCCCTCCGGGGGGCTGGGGCAGGAAGGCCCTAGGGAAGAAACCTAAGCAACTCCAGTCTTGTTTAACACTCCATCTCCGTTCTGCGACTTGACTCGTGATCCACTTTATAGATGGCCCCCCCTTAGTCACCTAGGACTGGCTAAGAGTTTCTAACCAACCAGTTCTTCAGAGTCCGGGGCCAGACATGCCATGCATTCTGTTGGTCCGGGTGTGACTAGTAACCTTGGGTGTGACTGGTAACCTTGGTCAAGCTATGGATCAAAGACATTTTTCTGTAAAGGTCAGCCAATCATTAATTGCCCAGTTAAGCTTGCTTTAAATATAAATTTTAACCAATCATGTAATTTCTTATGTAAAAGTTCCTTAAAGTTGTTTGTTCAATACTATAAAAACTGCGCTGATCCTATGCTCAGGGCCTCTTAGCGTCACCGGTTGCCGAGTGCGGGGAGGACCAAGCTCGAGCTTGCAATAAACCGGCTCTTTGTTGCTTACATTGATCGTGGTCTCTGGTGGTCTTCTGGGGGTCCCCGAATTTCAGTATAACAATGGACTTTCCTGCCCAGGCTGGCTTTGAACTGTGATTCTCAGATCTCAGCCTCCTGAGTACCTAGGATTACAGGCATGAGCCACAGGCGCCCGGCCAGTTTTTTTTTTTGTTTTGTTTTGTTTTTTTTGGGGTCCGGTTGTGGGGCCTGAACTCTGGGCCTGGGCACTGGCCCTCAGCTCTTCAGCTCAAGGCTAGCACTCTACCACTTGAGCCACAGCGCCACTTCCGGCTTTTTTCTTTTTGCTTATATGGTGCTGAGGAATCGAACCCAGGGCCTCATGCATGCAAGGCAATCATTCTACCACTGAGCCACCTTCCCAGCCCCTGCCCGGCCAGTTTTTGATGTTTGATTTTATACTGGAGAACATCTGTGTTGTTAACACCACGGATTGTTGCCAACTCAGAATCTTGAGAAGCTCCTCAAGAACTCTATTACTCTAGCTAAATGTAGTAAATTCTCCTTAAAGTTCAGCTAATTCAAACACCGAAATTATTCCTTCTCCACATTCTTAAATCTTCTTATCCTTCAGGACCTAGCCACCTTTCTCAGAGTCTTTCTCACTTGCCTTCCCACTTCTTTGGCAGTTAGCCACGCTTCCCACCCCCAACCCCCCCACCCCCACCCCCACCAGGGTGTCACTTTCTTATTTAGGAAATGTTCAAGAGGTTGACCAGCCAATGAATTACCCCTGGACGGGAAGGGACACTTCCATCAGTGAGTCCACCCCAATCCCTTGTCCCTCAAGCAGAATCCAGAATAAGTGCAATAAATACTGTGGGTTTAATTAACCCACATTTCTTCCTGCAATCGCAGGTCACAAACACACTCACACAGTCAAAATCACCATGCCTAACAGCTGTCCCGATGACAGGGAATTTTAAGGAGTGAAAAAGAAAACAAAACAAAAGAAAAAGAACCAAGAGTACTAATAAGCAAATGGTGTCTAACTGGAGACCAAGATGCAAAGAAGCGAGGGAGGACCCAATTCTCTAGCTCCACCCCTAATGTCCGCTTCGGCCTCCGATTGGCTCCAGTTCATGCCGTCGTCGCCTTACTGCCGCTCACGTGACTACACAGCCGCAAACGGGATTGGCTGTCCTGGCGCGCACCGCGCAGGACTGTGGGCTGCGGGTCCGGCGGCCAGACGCCGAGAGGTCGTGGGCAGCAGTTCGTGCGTGGTCGGCAGGCCTGAAGACTTGGCCATCGTCCTCCGCTGTGGCCAAGATCGGAAAGAGTTCAGGGCGTGGTAACTTTGTAGAGTTCGGAAAGCGGGCTGTGCTCTCCCTTCCTCACTGGGTGCTTGGCCTGACCTCTGACCCTGGCCCTAACTCCTTTTTCCCGCGCGACGACAGCTTCAGCCATTGATGAAGGTGGTGGGGTTTGAACCTTGTCTTTTAAGTTTAATTTGGGGATCTCTGCCCCTTCCCACTTCCCTGGAGAGGCGAATTACTGGGCGCCACGAGATCGAGGATGGGGCCGGGAACTTTGGAGATACTTGGTTCGTGGTCACGTGAAGCCACCGGTGTGACAGGTTGGAGGTAAGCTAGCTTTATAAATTGTGCTGATGCTCTTTATCGTGGAATTTAGGGCTTATTAGGGAGGGTCGCCCATTGACTGAATCAATTGTCATTGACTAAATTCAAGCGGGCCTTATTGGACTAGAGACGTGTAAAGCAGTCCTGGATCTGTAGGAACTTTAGATGATGGAGATCCAGTGACCTGGTGACTAATTGGCATCAATTGCGGACTGTGATGGAAGAAAGTGCTGTGGAAGTCAGAGGAGGAGATGATTGAGTGAGTTAGGAATACTTAATTTTTTTTTTTTTAAAGGTGAACATTCAGTTCAAGTAGTAGAGCACTAGCCTTGCGCAAAAAAAGCTCAGGGACAGCGCCTAGGCCCTGAATTCAAGCCCCACTATGGACACGCCCTTCCCCACAAAAGAAGATGAAGAAGAAAAGATGGTATTCAATTTCTGAAAGTCTAATTTAGAGATTCTCTCCATGGAATTGAGTGTGGGGAAGGCGCTCCAGGTATTCAGAGACAGAATGAGTGTACCTGATGTGGCTTGCAGATACTGAACTCAAATTAGGATTATATACAAATTAGACTGTACACAAAAAGTAGCCTTTTCGAGGGTCACCAACTGGAGGGGTAAGATTGAAGTACAGTAAGGGTTTTTAGTAAGCAAGAGAAGGACTTTCTAGATGGAAAACACATCCCTAAAGACTTAGGAGTAGTCTGGATTGGATAGATTGTAAAGTATATGTTAGAATTATGGTATTAAGGATGTTGGGTGACATTTTTTAATACTTTGCTTGTTTTGGTGTTGGGTATTGAACCCAGAGCTTCATTCCTGAGTCAGTTTTGAAACATCTTAAATGCTAAGCAGATTGGATTTAAGTTCCTGGCCTGTTGGGAGCAATTGAACACTCAAGTGATGGCATAATCCTCCTCAGTAATTTAAGGTCAGCATAGGTATACATTGGATTGGAGGGAAACAGCAGACACACTGAGTCCCTATTGTAGTGCCAGTAGCAGAATTATAATTCAAATTTTATATTAAGTGAACTAGTCTTTGTAATTTAGTAGGAAATATTTTCTAAAGCTGCTGTTTAAGATCTAGGCTGTAAATCCCTACCAAACATCCGTGTTATTCTGCTTGGATGACACCAAACTGGATTTGAATCACAAATGCTTCTCTACTCTAGTGGGCTGCAGAAACCAACAAAAAACTCTCCCCCAAACAAAACTTGTCCAAGTTGTAATTTTGTAGTTAAGAGATACTTAAAGCAGAGTGGGAGAGAAAATACTTACAGAAAACTTATAGTTGACACATCTAAAAAGGAAGCTTTTATTTTCTTGTATAGGTAGGCCCAAGTTTTGTTGCCTGTGAAAATAGGGCATCAGGCTGCTCTTGGCTGATGTAGGGAGGTGAAATGCATGAGGCAATGATGAGTGAAGTATAGTCTGACCTGGTATTGCCATTGCTTGAGTGTTGGCTTTGACCAGGGCATGATCCCTTAATCTTCTCTCTGAGCTCATTCTGGTTGTGGTTGCCCGCCCCCCTCTCCCCCCATAGTTGAGTCCTAGATTATTTGAATACTGCCTTCTTAAGTGTAAGTGGTTTTTTGAATTACTGATACTTTGTTTCCCTCCTTAGGTTGAAGTGAAAAATCTGGTTTGAAAGCTTCATGGAGGACTACAGCATTTCAATCCTGAATCTGATTCACTCCCTTTATTGACTTATTACTGTATTAAAAAATAATGTAATTGGGGCTGGGAAGGTGGCTCAGTGGTAGAATGCTTGCCTCGCATGCATAAGCCCTGAGCTCAATTCCTCAGCAACACATAAACAGAAAAAGCTTGAAGTGTACTGTGGCTCAAGTGGTAGAGCTCTAGCCTTGAGCTGAAGAGCTGAGGGACAGCACCCAGGCTCTGAGTTCAGGCCCCATGACCGACCAAAAAAAAATGTAATTAACTATGGTGTTTTCATGGTATATCCTTTGAATTTTTTGAAACCTTTGAGTTTTTATAAGAATTTGTAAACTATAGCCACTATGTTTCAATATTTTAAAATCGATGTGATGGATAATTCGTTTTAGAATTTAACTGTATCATATATATGCTTTGAATTGCCAAATGAGTTACATTATTAGAAAAAGACTTAGCATAGCAAAGACAAATTATTTTCACCTGTTCTCTATTAAAATTGATTTGGGTATTTTGAGACTAGTTCACTATTTCAATGCTGGCCTTGAAATTTTGATTCTCTTACCTTTGAATGCATCACTGCACCCTGCTAATAACCCTCCCACCCTCCTTCCCTTTTTGGAATACTGGAGCACTGAAGTTTGAACTCAGAGTTTAATGAATGCTAGGCAGATGCTCTGAAGGAGCCACTCCTTCAACCCTAGTTGCTTTTGAGATAGGGTCTCAGTTCTTGCTTAAGTACACACCTAAACCACAATTTGCCTATTTTAAGTTTCCCATCATAGCTGGAATATCAGGCCTTGGCCTTTTGAAGACTTCTTTGTCCAGGGTCTCCTAGAACCCAGTCTCTTCCCACATAGCTGAGGTGACCAGTCCCACCATGCCCAGCCAGCTATTGGTTGAAAAGAGGGTCTTTTCTGCCTGGGCTGTCCTTGAACCATGACTCTCCCAGTTTTAGCTTCCTAAGTAACTAAAATGAAAAGTATAATCCATTGGTACCTAGCTGATGACTTTTTTTTTTTTTTTTAATCAAACCTGTATTTATTAACCTGCTGATCTTGTGGCATGAATTTCCCTGTTCAGGCAATTTCAGTTTCTTCCTTTCTTTCTTTTGTTTTTTTTTTTGGGGGTCCGGTCATGGGGCCTGAACTCTGGGTCTGGGCGCTGTCCCTCAGCTCTTCAGCTCAAGGCTAGCACTCTACCACTTGAGCCACAGTGCCACTTCCGGCTTTTTTCTTTTTGCTTATGTGGTGCTGAGGAATCGAACCCAGGGCCTCGAGCATGCAAGGCAAGCACTCTACCACTGGGCCACCTTCTCAGCCCTTTCTTTTGTTCTTTCCTTCCCTTCCCTTCCTATCCCTTCCCTCCCTCACTCCCTTCCTTCCTTCCTTCCTCCCAATAGCAATAGAAATCAGTTGCACATGCCAGATTAGGGTTGTGTTTTTACAGAGGCTCCTGAATCTCAGGTAAGCCTTAAACTCAACCTATCTCAGTTAAGAGGCATGTACCAGCTGGGTACCGGTGTAATCTTACCTACTCAGCAGACAGATGTGAGGATTGCAGTTCAAAGCCAGCCCAGACAGGAAAGTCCATGAGACTCTTGTCTCCAATTAAGCCAGAAATGGAGCTGTGACTCAAATAGTAGAGCACTAGCCTTGAGCACAAAAACTCTGGAACAGGGCTGGGAAGGTGGCTCAGTGGTAGAGTGCTTGCCTTGCATGCATGAGGCCCTGGGTTCGATTCCTCAGCACCACATAAGCAGAAAAAAAAAAGCCGGAAGTGGTACTGTGGCTCAAGTGGTAGAGCACGAGCCTTGAGCTGAAGAGCTGAGGGACAGCGCCCAGACCCAGAGTTCAGGCCCCACGATCGGACCAAAAAAAAAAAAAAAAACAACTCAGGGACAGTACCTAGGCCCCGAGTTTAAGCTTATTCAGAAATAAATAAAGGCATGTACCCCCTCCCATACTAGGCCTGTTTCTGTAGTTTTTCTGGTACAAAGTATTCCACACAAAGTTATAGTCTTGCTGTTAAAGCAGAGTATTTTTGTTCTGATGATTTTAAAATCCTTAATATAAAAACCTCAAAAAGTCAAAGGTGATCTGAATAAAAAATTTATTTTAAACACTTTAAGTAATAGGTTTTCACATAATCATGACGGCATGGAACAGTTGTCAGAAACATTTATTCAAACAACTCGTTTCCTAGGACTTTAGTAATAATCAGGATAGTTACTGTCAGCTGAGCAAGCTCTTCAATGGAAAGCAGAAAGACTTTATTAAAAGGTCTCATTCAAGCCGGGTGCCAGTGGCTCACGCCTGTAATCCTAGCTAACTCAGGAGGTTGAGAGCTGAGGATCATGGTTCAAAGCCAGCCCAGGCAGTCCGTGAGACGCTTATCTCCAATAAAAACCAATAGAAAGCTGGAAGTGGCACTGTGGCTCAAGCGGTAGAGTGCTCGCCTTGAGTTGAAGAGCACAGGGACAGTGCCCAAGCCCAGAGTTCAAGCCCCACAACCGACAGAAAAAAAAAAAAAAAAGGTCTCATTCATTAAGAGTTCATTAAGTAAGCATCTCATGTCATCTTTTCATTGTTAGCTTTACTTTCACGTTGAAAATTTTAAAGTACTGCCTATGAAAACATTCAATCTAAAGGAATCTTCAAATGCTAATAAACTGTAGATATTCACAAGAATATGGAAGGAATTTTTTTCTAAAGTGTTCTTACTATTTTTGTAATGAGCATGTCCATGTTTCATATTATTTTGGAAGTAATAAAACCTCCACCTCCTAGGCAGAGATGTTTTCTAAAGAGAAGACCTGCTTCCCCTAGCCACCCATTTTATAAAGTCCAAGCTGAGGTTTTCCAGAGAGCTTCTCTATCTCTTGTTCCTCTTTAATCAACAGGTAGATGGCCCTCACATCCCCTACAACCTTGAGGCTTCAACTTTAACTGGGTTCACTGTAAGTTGGGGTCTAGAGAGCAGGCTAAAAGGTTAGGATCAAGTGGGCATATCCTTTGAAAGGAATCCGTGTAGTTGTTTAAAATTAATTTAATTGTAAACTGGGTAAGGTATCAATGCTGTGTACCATACTGAAAAACAGCCCTGTAGCTTTATAGTATAATACTTGAGCTGCGAGATAATTTGCTAATCTTTTCAGTTCTCAGGGGAATACAGCTTAATTAGATGCTGTACTTCTGTTGGATAACCTGTGATGGGACAAGCTTGGTGACTCCTCACATAAGTAAACACACAGCGATAACAAAACACATAGCCAGAAGTGGCAAGAACAGTATCATTCACCCGGGTTTTACGACACAGTGGGCACACAGTCTTCATTTTGGGTAACAGTGGGGAATCAGAATTGTAGTCGAGGTGTACAGGTGGTGGTGGAGTAGGCAGGGCAGTCAGTGATTTGATGGTTTCTTGGTTTTCTGAAGAGTACCACCAGTCAAGAAACTGCAGGAAGAACACACCCACAGAAAGCCCAGTGGAAAGGGAGAAGGCAACACCTCCCACAGCTTTTTTCAGAGCTGACTTTATTTTCTCACGAATACTGCTGGGGGAAAAAACAAGGGAACAAAGTCAAATTTCACTTGGATATAATTACACAAAAACTTGTAAATGTAGTTTTGCACTTTTCATCAGAGTCACTGACTTGGGGATTGAAGAGCTGCTATATTGAGATCTTTTCCTTAATCTATTCTAAATGATTCCCTGCTTTGTTTTGTGTGCCAGTACTACTGCTTGAACTTCAGGGCTTGGGCACTGTCCCGGAGCTTTTTTGCTCTAGGCTAGCACTCTACCATAGGAGCCATAGCTCCATTCTGGCTTTTTGATGGTTCATTGGAGATAAGTCACAGGAACTTTACTACCCAGGCTGGCTTGGAACTGCAATCCTCAAATCTCAGCCTCATGAACAGCTAGGATTACAGGCATGAACCATGAGCACCCGACTTAATGGTTCCCTCTTCTAATTCAGCATTTTATGTGTTGAGGATCTAACCTTCATTTGTTTGTGAAGATCTCACTACATGGCCTGGCTGGCCTCAAACTTGTGATCTTTCTCTTGTCTCCACCTTTCTAGTGCTGAGATGACAAGTATATGCCATCATGCCTAGCTCTCAGCTTCGTTTTTTGTTTTCCCAAGAACTTCAGCTGGTTGTACATGTCCATCTAAGTGCTCAGTGCTAAGTTTCATTTAGAACTGTACTAACCTGTCTTGAATGACAGCTTTCTATCTCCTACCTGCCAAACTCTGTCTAAGGTACTTAGCTGTAAAGGCTTGTTTTTCTCAACTGTTAGAGGTACTGCATTTACTTCACTGAGTTGTGACAAAGCTTGAGATACTGAACATAAAGAAAACATCCAACACAGGGCCTGGCACATACCAAGTATTCACTAAAGTGTGCATCATCCAAGAAAGGTTTTCTGTGTGTTTTGTTGTTTGGTTTAATTTTTTGTCAGTCATGGGACTTAAACTCTGGGCCTGAACACTGTCCCTCAGCTCTTCAGCTCAAGGCTAGTGTTCTATCACTTGAGCCACTATGCCACTTCCGGTTTTCTGAATAGTTTATTGGAGATAAGAGTCTCACAAACTTTCCTGCCTGGGCTGGCTTTGAAGCGTGATCCTCAGATCTCAGCCTCCTGAGTAGCTAGGATTATAGGCGTGAGCCACCAGTGCCCAGCTACTATGGTTTTATTAAATAATTCTGGGTAGACAAAGGGAGGAAAACTTCCAAAGATTAAGATAAGACCTTAGAATTCGTTAAAGTTGTTTTAAAGACATTAGGCCTTACCTCTTGGCTGGTTGCTGCATCATGTAGGCCTCAACCAATCTGCGTTCCATGGCTTGAATGTCCTGAACTGTCAGTCGGCCTAGCCGAACTCCAGCCAGTCTCAGCAGAGGAGAGTGATGCTGAGCTTTTCCTAGGATGTAGCTAAGTTGCTGTACAAGAAACCAGCCTTCCCAGGCCATGTTAACAAATGGGTAGGCTGCTAGGAAGGCTCTGTAAAATCGTTTCCAGTGGGAAGAGGGGGGATGAATAGAATATTCATCCTCTTCTCTCAGGCTAGACACCAGCTTCTCCAGCTTCACTTTGAGATAGGGAAGAAGAACC